CTAAAAGACTCCTTCATACAACTCTTGGTCTTCTCAAGATAGAAATAAATTGAAATAGAGTGTGAGATTTGTAAATGAAACATTCATAAAGTGTGTAGCTCTGCATCAGCCAGCACAGCTGAGGAAGATAAAATAAAACTGATACTGTAGCAGTTGCATTCGCACAGATACTGCAGCAGACACTGATCAGAAACCTGGATAAGATGATTCCACGCCACAGCGTCCCTACTTCAGAGTAACTGAGCCCACACATTTGTCAAAACCAGGATACAGTAAGGGCTTTTCTAAGATTACAGGTGCAAACAGAAATGGTATACTTTAAAAACCATGAAAATTTTAAGAAGTTACTATACAGGAGTGGTAGCAGCCCAGCCAATCAACCTACCTGTTATTGTTATGCATGTGTGTGGTCTTATCTTTCTGTGTGCGGCTCATTTTCTGGAGCTAAAGAGTGAAACTGCATGTTCATATTTACTGTACTAAGAAGTCGCAATGGAGTTTGCGGTGGAGAAACAGAAGAAATATTTCACCACAGGAATTTGTGCATTTGGTCTCATGTACCTCTAGTATTTTAAGGCATTCCCGTGCAGGCACGCAAAAATCAGGGAGGAGAGACTGGAAATGTGTGTTGGTACATATGCCACTAAATAGAAAAATATCAGTACTGCAATATTTTACACATCTGATGGTAATTTGCATCAGGTTTAGAAAATATCCCCCAATGTATGAACAGTTTCACCCCACTGCAGCCAAGGTTTTAATACTTTTTCCAGCTGCTCATATTTAAATTGACTCACTTCAGTCTAGTACAGTAATAACTAGACATTTCTGTTTTAGCATCCTGAAGTTCAAGCTGTGATTAAATTATGGAAACACAGTGATAAAATCCTTTTTCCTTTTCCTCCTCCCTCCAATTCGTCTCTGAGCCAAAACAACACAACACCATAATAAGATTACAACAAGTGTGTGGAGCTGGGCAGCAATGCCCAGATTTTCAAAGGTTGGTAGAGAGAAATGCAGCCCACACACACACACACACACACACACACACACAGAGCTTTTGAATTTTCTCCTCTTATGGTGTTTGGTGGTTTGAGCCAGAAACTGAAGACATGGATTTACACTGGCAATCCATTTTACCATGAAAGTCTTTCTTTGTTTCTCCCTTGTCTCCGTTTTCTCTTAATCTCCTTTATGTCTTTTTAATAATTTCTCTAATTTTTTCTTCCTCTTTATTTCATTTGTAACAATAGAGGAGGCAAAGGAAGAAAAAGTTTGAGGGTACAAAAAAAAAGAGTCTGTGTACAAGTGGCAGTGGTGGTGGTCATAGTCGAGGCAGCAGTCAGTAGTATACTTGTCTTAGTATTCATAATTGTACTAGTAGTAAGGACAGAAAAGTAAAGTCATTTGTAGCAGTGGTGAAAGTAGCAGTAGGTGGAGTAGTAGTTATAGTAGTCATTATAATAGAAGTATCATAGTAGTGGTAGTACTGGTGTGACTATTATTAGTAATAGTGGTAATTATAGTATTAGTAAGAGGAGGGTGAGTAACAGGATTTCTAATAGTGGTAGTAGTGGTAGACGTAGGACTAGTAAGAGCAGTAGTAGGAGAAGAGGAGGACTATTAGGAGGAGGGGTACTGGGATTACTACTATTAGAGGTAGGATTACTATCGGTGGTGGTGGTAGTGTTAGTAGTAGTAGTAGAGAAATGAACAAGAGTGGGAGTAGTTGGTAGAGGGGCAGAGATAATTCTAATTATGGTATTTAGCAGCAGTAGTAGAATAATAATCGGGGGGTGAAGGTGTTATAGTTTAGTCCCCCTCACCAGGAGGCTGAGGGAGAACTGAGGCAGGACTCACGATTGCTGACCCAGGTTTTAGTAAAACAGGTGGTTTTAATGATGGGAAACATGAAAAAAAGGAACAGAGTCGAGGAACACATACAACCGGGGCTGAGCAAATACGGCTAGGGAGAACAGGATGACCAGGGGAGTAAACAGGCTAACGGAAAAAACAGGAGAGTGAGGATGAGGAAATATGTTTAGGGAGAACAGGACGACCAGGGGAGTAAACAGGCTAACGGCAAAAAACAGGAGAGTGAGGATGAGGACAGACAGGTGAAAAAACAAACTACCCAGGAGGATTAGCTAACGAAAAAGGAAATCTACAGCACAGGGACTGTCAGCGTCGATGTCTTAAGACGTATAACACAAAATATATAACCAGCGTACAAAATGTGATCCACAGCACAGGAACTGTCAGCATGGAAAACAAAATGACGTACAATACATACCACGACTACAGGGCTGTTACGGGGTAAGGTAAGGTAAGGTAAGGTAAGGTAAGGTAAGGTAAATTTGGTACTGTTAGTTAATGCTCCAGTGATGGCGGAGCGTCCTCCAGAGGTATGAATAAGGTAGGAGGGTGATTACAGTGATGCGCCCCAGCTGTGTGCGACAACCCACAAGTCACTAATTACAAAATGCGACACAGCTGAGGCGCTGATCCTTCAAAAAGAGCAAGCAGGAGAGAGAAAGGCAGAAGAGAGGCCTTCTACTAATAACACTAGTTGGCAGTTGTGGTATTAGTAAATATTGCTAAAAGCACTGTAGTGGTGGTAGAGCAGGCATAATGGTGGCAGTAGTACAACAGATAAAAGAAGTGCTAGTAATAGAGGGATGGTGCTTGCATGTGAATCTGTTAAGGGCCTTATACATAAGCAGTAGTAGTAGTATTGATCCTCCACCCCTTCACACACAGCATCTCCTCCCTCACTTCAGCCCCCTCCTCTTCCTTCCTCCTCCGGTGGTAGACTGAGCTGTAAAAATCAATGGGGAAAATGTCCTGAAACAGCCGATCTAGAAGCCATCTGGCCCTTGTAGTCCTCAGAGACTGGCAGTATGTCCCCGAGGGACGAGACACACGGAGAAGCTGACAGTGACAAGAAGCACAAGCACACAACAACACAAAGAAAGTGTTAACTCAGTAACATGTAAATCCTCAGTATGGGCTACACATCATGTGTATCTCAGCCAAAATTAAGAAAACAATAACTAGTTTATAAGCTAATTTCAAGAACATGTGACCTGGTCCTTTAATGATCTTTGTGATGTGTATCCACTTAATTTACCACATAGCAAACTGTTGTGTTGTGACTTATCTTTTACATGTAGTCGTTTTCATATGAGTCTACACAATGTGCATTATCACTTAGTGCCAGTGCAGAAACCTCAGAGCGCAAAATAAAACTTTTAAAGGCAGTATGGAAAAGAATAAAAACCTATCAAACAAATAAAAATTTCTCCCAAAACAAGTCAACATGTCCCTCCCCATAAATGTGGCGTGGGCCAGTTTCACTGTCTCCTGACCTTTAATAGCACCACCTTCATCAGCAGTCCAACTTTGTTTAATGCTAAAACGAAGTGCCAGAATGCATTACCCTCCAGATTTTGTCAAAACCAGACCAGTGTTGTCTGGGACATCACATTTGAGATTCAAATTCTGACCTTTAAATACAACACCCTCCTTAAACTAATTAACGTAATTTGTAAAAGTAGCCGGACGTGTGTTGCAGTGTGGGTCAGTCACACTAATGGTGTCAGAGGAAAAGACCTGGGTGTCAGAGGTGGACATATGTTTCTGAAAATCAGATGTGAGTGTTCAGTGTAGGAAGTTAGTGATGAGTGAACAACACTGCAGAAAACAGTGTATTCTGAAAAGAAAGGACGGCAAGCTAAGAAAGCCTGAAAATGAAAAGAAAGATGAAAATATGATCAATGATGAAGAAGAAGAAGGAAAGAAAGGAAGGAGCAGAACAGAAGGAGTGAAGATGGACTATATAAAGAGAAAGGGAAGGAGGTGTGTGTGCAGCAGAGCAGCTACAGACCCACTCATCTTGTAAGAATCTAGCAGTAGTACAACTGAGCAGGCCATCAAATGTTTAGAGAGCCAGTTGGAAATGATTTCTGCCATCTGATCCTTTAAAAGGCTTTATGATTCCCTTTCCCTTTACAGCCAATAATTCACCATTCAGTATTAACGTTTTTCACAATCATTGACTAAAATATCTATTTCTTTAAGTCTCTTTGCTGTGACAGAAATGCCTTATACAGATTATTGCATGCCAGTTTATAATGTCTTAGTGAAACTGAAGTACTAAATCCTTTAAGAAACACGTTTGCTACTTGTAAAATTCAACCTTGTTACTGGCTGTAGAGTAAACAAGTCTAAAGTCATTTAGTGGTAAAATCCATGACATTTTCACTAACTGATTCAATCATTCAGTGTCATCACTAATGCTAACTAAGTTGTGTTTTTACAGTGTGGTAAATGACTTTTACTAAAGAGGACTGGAACTAATCTTCAGCTGCTGCTCATGTGGGACATGGTGAGTTCATCAGCAGGATATATGCTCTTGTTTATTTGCACTGCAGAAATGAAAAGAGGGGTAAACGGCTGTAAACTGAACAGGTGGGTGGATCCGGCTGAACTCTTCTCTCCACTGTATCCCTGCTCTCCATGCAGACACCACATGAAACCACATGGAGGAGTCTGTGGTGAAGCTGTCACACCTCAGAGAAACAACGCATTTGGTCTCTGACATAACTGCTGCTTCATGTGCTTCTGCAGATTCCTACAAATGTTTACATCAGTTTTGTTTCTGTTTCCTCTCAGCAGCCGCACTCCTGGCTTCTCTTCTCTCTGCCTGTGTAGCCTGTAATGACTGAGACAGGAATGTTGCTCGTTTTATATAGGCCTCTAAAAATAACTCACCTCTCACTGCCATCTACGGCCTGACTGACAGTATCCCTCGGCCAATAGCGTCAGTGCATCCCATAAAGCCCCACCCACTCCCTCTGTCTCAGCGCCTCCTTAATTGGACGCAAGTGACATCATCAACCCTATTTACCTTATTAGGTCACGCATGAAATTGATTGACAGGTGGCTCCTCCTCCGCTCCCCTCCTCTCCTCTCTCCTCCTCTCTCGCACCGGTCGCCTGGATTGCAGCGGGGTCCAGTCTGCTGCTGGAGGAGCAAACCTGGCAACCTGGCAGGTCGTAGGGAGACGTATTGTCAATTTGGCAATGCGGAAATAGATCTGGCATCCCCGAGCCCGGACTGAGGAGAGAGGCGTGACAGAGCGAGTAGAGAGGAGTCGGGATTGCTTTGACTCAGATAAAATAACCAACTCTTTCTTCCTTCTAAGCCTTTTTCTTTTTTAGTTAAAGTGCGCTCGTCTGCACCAGCTGGGGGCTTTCCAGCATTTGTTTTTTGAATTTGGCAAGTCTGAGAAGACGAAAGAAGTGCGTTTTTATCGTTTGAATTCCGGACTTTACCGACTTTTCCTTTCTACATTAAGCATGGATGTGTTGGCGAATTACAGTATTTTCCAGGAGCTCCAACTCGTTCATGACACTGGTTATTTCTCCGCGATGCCTTCCCTGGAGGAGAACTGGCAGCAGGTAAAAACTGATGCGTTCTCACATGTTTTCCGGGAAAAGGACGGGGTTAGAAACCGGGGTGAGATGTTGTGTGTGCGCTGGCTGCTGTTGTCTGTTGTTTCGCGTTGTGCCGCGTTGTGCATAACCAGTGCGCACTGTGCAGCCCGTGTAGTTGCGTCTTTTTTTTTTCGCTCACATGGAGCATGGCGAGGTCCGCTGACAAGGGAAAACACATACACGTACACACGCACACGGGGTGGGATGAGGAGGGAGTGAAGGAAACAGTCTGAAAGCTTTACGCATTAATGGGACTCATGGACAAAAAGCAATGCGTAAAAGCTTCCACTCGCACGCCCCGTACTATACACGAATTGGATGTGCCTTAAACATATTTAAGGCTTAATTAAACCCCTCATCGTTAATGTAAAAGCAGGAGCATGACGTTGTCTCGTGAAATCACCCATGGCGATGTTCAGATTTGAAAGGAAATCTTAAAAAAGAACGACGTGAGAAAACCCTTTAACTACTAAAGGCGTTAAAGGCTGTTGGAAAACTCTAAAAGAGAAAGTGCCAAGCTGAAATGCTGCTTTGGAGATAGCTTCTCCTTAAAGGTTAACGTTTTGGAGATAAGAGGATTTGCTCTTCACTGACGAGGCAGCATTTGGGACTGCACTTTGGGTTATTAAGGATAAAAATCTTTTTTTGTGTGGCTATTTAGTGAGTTTACTGGTGAATAAAACTTAAACACAGGTGGTCAGTGTGAAAATGCCGTTTTACTTTCAGTTTTCCTTTAACATTTAGGGCCATTCAGCTGCTTTACCTCTTTTCAGTAACTTTTTTATGCACAGTTTACATTAATGTTTAAGTGAAACAGTTAAGTTTGATTGCAGGATTTAAACAATGAGATTCCTGTAGCTTTCCATCAAGCTTTGAATGGCTTTTGGCCTGTTACAGGGCATTAAGTAGGCTTTATTCTCTCATTCCATTTAATTGGCAGTTCAGACTCAGTGTGAGAGGTAGTTGAAGGTGATGGTGGACTGATTTTTGTTTTTCAGTCTGAGCTGATGATGCAGAATTAGAGTTTTTGAATCCTGGAGCGTGATGCTGTTTTTAGTGACTGATGTGATCGATAGACCAGCCTGATGTGTTTGGATAATCTCTCTCTCTCTCTCTTTCTCACTCACTCACTCACTCACACACTCACACACACACACACACACACACACACACACACACACACACACACACACAGAGTAAGACAGCCAACAGAAGATGGACACATGTCTAATAGCTAGTGACTAACATATCCTCATCTGCCACTGTTTGTTTGCAGGTAATCCTGTTGAATTGTGCATCATCATCCACTATAGAACATGCAGTACAGTCTCCATGAGAGCCCACAGACTGACATGTAAACCCTTAATTTTTATTGGTATAAAAGTAGATAATGGGGCTTTTATTGTGGTCTCCTGTGTACACATGACATGCAGTGCAGCCGCATTAGAAGCGGTTTGTGAAACCACTAGAATTGTCCTTTTTCAGTTTTGACAAATTGAGTACAGGTTTCAAAATCGGAATGAGGATTTAAAATGACACCAAAACCAGAATTTGTTTGACTTAAGAGGCGAATAATTGATAATGTGCTGATTCAGATATTTTCCCATCCATTTGTCCCCCTGGACGACGTCTTCAGCCTGGTGTGTGACCACCTTTACAGTCTGTTAAGTCTCACAACGAGCCACACATGGCACCAAATTTAGTACGTTCATTATGTATAGGGTTGGACCTGTGTGTATCGTATAGTCCTGGACAAAGCCCAGCACTTTTCATCTCTGTCTTGCTGCCATAAATCCACACCACCTCATCCTATTTTTAGTCCATACAGCACATAGGTTCATCCCTTTGTCTGTAATGATATTGTTAATTGATTGAGAAGAATCAGGGAGTTTCAGGTTTTGCTGTTGTCTCATTTTGCCCAGAATGGCTGGAAAAGCAGTTTAATTTGGTGGCTGCTAACAGGAATGTAGAGCTCAGGAGAAAGTAATTCCACGCTTTTATTCAGTTTGACATATTTCAGTCTAATGCAAACAGGGCTGCTGTCGAACTAAAACGCCAACGTGACACCAGCTTTTTGTGTGAGTGGTTATAATGACATATGGAGAGTTGTTGTTTACTTTGTTCTTTGTCGGTTTTTAATTCAGCGGCTGTTGCAGTGAAATGTAATTTGAGACAGTTGAAAGCTTCTCGAATGGGCAGTCGGATGTTTTTTCTAACATGGTTTGTGTCTTTACCAGGAATTAGATAAAAAAATGGATATCGGCTCCATCTCTGTCCAGTACACAAAATGGACTAAGACGTGTTTAGCATAGCTCACCACAAACATTTAAAGCAGGGCTACCTGCCATACAAGCTACAGCACCGACTTTGAAGCTGTTATCATTTTGTCTTGTGTATTTAAAACTTTAATTTTTTCTAATGAATGAATCAGTTGTCATGCTGAAAAACTCTCAAGCCTGGCTGAGTTTTTAGCTTCTTTTAGCTTGTAGTTTTGGTTTTATGGGGCGTGCACTGTATGGCTCAGTGTTTCCAGCAGTGTTTTCAACAAATAAGCTGTGATAACCCCGGCGTCCACCGCCCAGCACCAAACAGCAGGCGAACTCAATTAGTGACTAGTTGATGAATACAGTGGAACATTCAGCAGCTAAAAAGACCGATATTTTGGTCAGCGGTTGGAGATGGAAGCAGAGCTATTAGGAGAGTGAATATTTATCTTCTGGAGAGAAGAAGGACTGCTAACGCTTTCTAATGTTGCTCCAGGCCTGCTGAGTCAGCTGTTTGATAATGATGTACCATAACCGTCTGCTTGAGGAGTTTTTGCTCCTTGTGGCCAAAAAAAAAAAAAAAAAAATCAGTCTGTTCTTTTAAGACTTCTTGTTTAAATCTCAGGTGATTCTTGTGTTGGTCGCTATTGTGTGCTAGCAAATAAACGCAACATGGAAAACATTTTACCCCGTTTGTTGAGAGTCAGCAGTTTCCCTCTACTTCCTGTGTTTGTGCTAAGCCACGCTAACAACATGCTGGACGTGTCTCTGTACTAAATGCACAGGGATGAAATGGACATCAGTTATTCTTCACCCGACTCCTGGTCTACACTGTCCAAATATTCTTTTAATGTTGCTGCTTCATGAACATATCTCGCCATGTTTGTGAAGCTTGACCTAAAAAACGTCCTGTTTACTCCTAAAAAGTATTTGTGATATAAGCACAGTGTTTCAGGATGGAAAACACTGGGTTATTGTGGTTGGAAGGCCAAACCTCAGAGGAAAAGATGTTTCCTTAAATTTGTCTGCACCAGTCGGGGCACAGCTAGTGTCGGAGAGAGACGAACACGCACACTGGGACCAGGCACACCCACATTTTTTCCACTCTTGTTCCTTCTGTCTCCCTCTATCCCCTCATTCACTTCATCTCACACACACACACACACTTGGCTGGCGTGCACTAATGGAAAGCTATGGTCTGGCAGGACTCATCCTGCCACTTTTGACAGTAATTGGCCGTTTGCTGTCAGACGAACAGAGAAGCACACTCAGACAAACACACATATGCACACACGTACATACACACACAAACAACCAACTGGATTTATGTGTGTTGTTTATCTTTCCTGTCTGTCCCTGCACTGTGCTCCTGGTCTTGTTTCCTCGTACAGGCTTCTTTAATCAGCTGCTTTGCATCATGGCTAAACATGTGGAAGACGCTTCTCTTTCTCTGTCGCTCTCTCTCTCACCTGTCAGCCTTGTTGCCTCTGACAGCAGGAGCCCATGTTGTGTGTATATGTGTGTGTGTGTGTGTGTGTGTGTGTGTGTAATTGGGATGATGTGATGGGCTTCAGAGTTTTGTTTGTGTGTGGAGTGTCCAAGGATAAAATGGCAAACCCAGACTTCCTAAGTAGATGAAACCAGTTTATTTCAAAGCTGAATCTTGCCAAAGTCTGATGAGCAGGAGGAAAAACTAGAGATGGAAACGGAGGTGAGAACTGAAGCAGTGGTTTCATGTGGTTGTCATGAACACTTCTGCGTTTATAGGCTGATGCATGTTCACTTTATGCAGGTAGCCAGCCTCATTTAAATGAGCGGCAGTGCTTTAAACAGGCGGACTCTCTCACATCTCGTCTCTTACCTTACATGCTGTGTGTGTCTGTATCTCTTTTCAAGCCGATTGATTTATTTGTTGTGGTGTCATTACTGCACTGTTAGACCAACCAAGTCTGTGTTACTGATAAAGTGTCTCCATTAGACCTGCAGCCTAGAGACCCTCTATCTTTCTCAGGAGGGCATTTTTCTCACTATTGTTGTACAGTACCTACTGTAGTTTATGGTGGTAATGTTCCACTCTGTGTAGACCCATCCTCGGTGTTTCTGCAAAAGAGATGACTAATGAAATCACTTCTGCAGTATTTTTCACATATATACTGCAACTGCTGGTGAACGAATCGGCCCAGTACAACTAGTGCATATTGACTGGTGACAAATGAAAGGAAAAACCTGAATACGTGGGTGGTCTCTGCTGTGATGACGGCACCCCCATCTGTAGAAGAAGAGGGCATAGGTGGAGCCGGGGGTGGCACCCCCCCTCTCCCTGCCAGAGTCAAAATGTGATGCTTGTCAGTATTAATTAATGGAAAAAATTAATTCCTGCCTCAAATACAACAAACTTTTTTTAAAGGCTTCATTACTGATCAGATTAGTTTATATCATACATGCAACTTGATATTTCCATTAATTTCTCCAATTGTGTTGTTGTGGAGTACTTGGCATGATTTGCCTCAGTGGGGGGGGACCACTGTGCAGCAGCGACGTTTCTGGCTGGAAGTCAATTTATGAGCACAACCAAAGTTAGCTGAAGAAAGTACTGGGTGTGCCTCATTTTTACACAAAATAAACACTCCGATTTTTAATATATGGTTCATTACTTTATAGGACTAGGGGTTTAATTTACTTTTTATATGCATGTTCAAA